GGGGGTTTAACGTCCACTCGACACAAATTAGGTCATTTCGGGACTAACATATGGTTTAATTTTATTTCAATAAATCGTTTGCGCGTAGGGGTCTTTAGCAGTGGGAGGAAACCGGAGGACCCGGAGAAAACCCACGAGGTTTGACAGGCGACCCTACACCTTGTCACGTACAACCGGGGATTCAAAACTACGCCAGTTGACTCAATGACAGGCTGCGAATCGTTTTCTCCACCTCATTCAAAAAAACTCCTGCAACTATTGGGGTGACGTGCTGCACTATGATAATGCTGTGATTTTAAAGAATGTGACCCGATTTGGTTTTTTTACAATCCCCTTCCCACCCTGTCTTCTGAAATCATTTTTAACCTATCGCTCCAGTCATCTATAAATATTGGTGGGTGTCGTACACATGTCAATGATGCTTACTTGTTCGATACCTCCCGACACCACTTTTTCTTCAAGGAATTAACTTAGCTAACTCACTTTGGTCCTGCTATTGTAATTCTAGATTTTTTAAATATAATACCAAATATAATTCACTTGTGGACACAAAATGTTTCATTATTTTGAGAAAACAAATAATTAATCAAATCTACTACTTAGGCCTATATATGATGTAATGAGTACAGCTGTATTTTTGTGACTTGTAGAAAGAGACTAGGACAGTAAGTCGACATCTCGACGTTACGATAAAAATAACACGATGATACGACAGAATAAAGTGTCGTATGATTGCGTCAATACTGTCGTGTTGTCGTGTTGTCGCGTTATAAAAAGGGCGAGATTTAAAATGGCCACTATCAGCCACCATACTCTCGTGATTAAACAGTATATTTTTGTTATGTTATATTTACATTTGGTCAAAAGAGCCTAACATTATAACAGGAATAATACTTGTAATTCAATATTTTCTTAAAGTTCGGGTTTATCCAACGCGACTACACAGACACAAATTAAATAAAAAGACCTACCTTATCATTAAGCTGTATCGAACGGTCCGAGAAGATGCGGGATTATGTTTTTGTCCACAAAATGTCTTATATATAGGTAGAAATGGTTGCCGGTCTATTACGGCTTAGCGGGGTATAAATTAGCCTTTAGTCTTTCGGGTACCCCACACGCATTTATACCGATCGTTTAAGCTCGTGTTTAACATTCATATTGACAATAACTGTTGTGTATTTATACCGATCGTTTAAGCTCGTGTTTAACATTCATATTGACAATAACTGTTCTGTATTTTATTTCTACTGAATGCACGTCCTAAAAGGAATTTAATTATCACCGAACCCTACGCGGCAGGCCCGTAGCTAGCGAAGGGGGAAAGGGGCACCCTGAAAAAAATCGGCGCCCCGTATGGGTGCCGATAACCCCCATTCCTTTGGACGTAATACGAAGCCAACGACCACCGTGGCACAAACATATCGTTATGTATGTGGCGCAACCCACTCCCCCCCCCCCCCCCCGCCAAATGGTGAAGCGCCAGATAATGAATAACACGATTAACACCACAACTTGATTGAAGTGGTGCCCAAAACTGCGTGATCTGTGGGGTGCCTTATCCCGGAGGGGCGCCCATAATGTCATGATTGGTGGGGCGCCTTTTAATGACAATATAATGATTGTCAGACTGCACATAATGCCGGGGGGTTAGATGGCTGAATGGTTAGCGTTTGCGCGCTGTATTATAAAGCCTGTCATTGAGTCGACTGGCGTGGTTTCGAATCCCCGGTTGTACGTGACAAGGAGTAGGGTCGCCTGTCCAACCTCGTGGGTTTTCTCCGGGTCCTCCGGTTTCCTCCCACTGCTAAAGACCCCTATGCGCAAGCGAATTATTGAAATAAAATGAAACCATATGTTAGTCCCGAAATGACCTAGTTTGTGTCGAATGGACGTTAAACTCCATTTCTCTCTCTCTCCCTCTCGCACATAATGCCTAGTGAGATTGACTGGGCCCCCACGATTTGATCAATGGGGTGCCTCAACCCGGAGGGGCGCCTATAGTGCCGAGAGTGGTGGGCCGTCCACGACGAGATCATTGCCGCCCATAATATAATTGGCGGTGCGCCCACAACTTTCCGTCAATTACATAGTTCCTCTCCTCATGTTCAATTCTAAGATAAGCCCCATCGGTGCCTCCAGAAGCCCTTGCCCCCCTCCAATCATTTTTTGGGCAAGCTACGGGTCAGCCCGGTGTTTGTTGATAACTTACTGTGTTATTTATACAAGACACTTTCAAAAGAACAATAAAATACCTTTGAACGTTCTCGTAATATATAAACATAAATGCTATTCATTTTATACAATTCTATAGATCAGTTACTATAAAAATAAATACTAATCATTTTTAAAATATTTCTATTGATCTATTCTAAAGGCTGGTTTATTTCCAATATTTTGTTTTGTTATTTGGCTATTAATATACACCCTAATAACGATACATTGGTGTAAATGTTTACTAACAATATAATATTGGTAGTCTCCCAAAACATGATGGTGTAAAGTTAAATCGTATTTTTTTCTTCCCGACATTTTTTTGGGGATTTTGATTGGTGGAAACCACATTGGAATCGCATTCTACGCTCCTCTGGGGAAGCCCTAAACCTCGCGAACCCTGGCACAGGTGAGGTACGTGCGCCATGGGTAATCTCACAATGAATGTGGTCGACACAAATTAGATCATTGCGGGACATATGATTTAATTTTATTTCAATAATCTGCTTTCATCTGGGGTGTTGGATGGCCAAATGGTTAGCGCGTGCGCGCTGTATCATAAGGTCTGTCATTGGGTCATCTGGCCTGGTTTCGATTCCCCGGTTGTACGTGACAAGGAGTAGGGTCGTCTGTCCAACCTCGTGGGTTTTCTCCGGGTCCTCCGGTTTCCCCCCACTGCTAAAGCACAAGCGAATTATTGAAATAAAATTGAACCATATGTTAGTCAAGAAATGACCTAGCTTGTGTCGAGTGGACGTTAACCACCCGCTCTCTCTCTATCTATCTCTCTCTCTCTCTCTCTCTCTCGCTTTCATCAGTGTATTTCGCGTTAATTAACTAGATTTAAAATACAGATGTGACGTCATCCTTTGATGTTGGAGTACCATTATTTCAAATAATCGTACGGGCAATGTGCCAAGCGTAACTTGGTAAAATATTGAACTCGAGTGACGTATTTCATTGCAAAGCATGTGCAAGTGTCTGTATTTTAAGTTGTTTAATGGTCTCGAGCTTAAGACATTGCGTAATATATTGTAAAAACATTCGGGCCTCACGGCCCTCATGTTGTTACAATATATTAGTTAATGTCTCGCTCTCGACACATGGACATGGAGAAAAGCAGCATATTTATTGATTTCCCCTCTATATTTGACGGTGTGTTGAGTCGTATGAAATAACACCTTTTATATACTGTCACCCGATCCGCCCATCCAATATTTGTCGTGTTATTCTTATATATGTCCACCAACTTGAAATATTGTTAATAAACACGTTGTTTAAAATGCCACATGGCGGCAAATATTAACTTTAATCATCAGGAACAATAACGATAAATATCGACTTGACCATAATAATATGGACATTGTCAATATTTAATCATACCATTACTTTTATGACTAGGATATATGCTCCACTCCCCAACGCAGCTACAGGCTAGCCCATGGGGCCCACTGCCCAAGCAGCTACATACTAGACCATAAGTCTCCCTTTCCAATCAGCTACAGGCTAGACCATAAGGCCCAGTACTCAAGCAGCTACAGACTAGACCACTAAGCCCATTACCCAAGCAGCTACATACTAGACCATAAGGTCCACTACCCAAGCAGCTACAGGCTAGACAATAAGGCCAACTGCCAAATCAGCTACAGGCTAGGCCATGGGGCCCACTACCCATGCAGCTACAGGCTAGACCATAAGGCCCACTACCCATGCAGCTACAGCTACAGACTAGACCATAAGGCCCACAGCCAAAGCAACTACAGGCTAGACCATAAGACCCACTGTCCATGCAGCTACAGGCTAGACTATGAGGCCCACTACCCAAGCAGCTACAGCGACAGACTAGACCATAAGCCCCCCCCCCCCCCCGTCCAGTCAACTACAGGCAGTGGCGGATTAAGCTCCACCAAGGCCTGAGGCGGCAGTTGCTGGAGGGCCTATTTAGTTCTTAAATAGGGCCTATTTAAAATGGCGTGGGCCTAATTAATTTCGGGTCAGGGCCTATGTTGATTCCCGTTGGGCCTAAACCCCACCCCCCTAACATTCATTGTCTATGCGTTTTTAATCGTATCAGACAAGTCTAAAAAAAATTTTTTTACAAAATCTTTGGGCCTGAGGCTGCAGCCTCATCAGCCTTACTGATAATCCGCTACTGGCTACAGACTAGACAATAAGACCCACTGCCAAAGCAACTACAGGCTAGACCATGAGGCCCACTGCCCAAGCACCGGGATTCAATCGAACTGTCTGACTCGGAACTTTCTAGGCCAACACAACACCGGGATTCAATCCGGGGTCTTTTAGTTAGCGATGTAGAAGAAAAAGACAACGTTTGGTATTCAAGTGTTTGAACACCTCAAATGAAAAATAGCACCCGGTGTTCTTATATCATGATATTTTGGCATATGTTTTATATTTATTTGTGGTTGGATGGTCGAATGGTTAGCACGTGCGTGGTTTCGAATACCCGGTTGTACGTGACAAGGAGCAGGGTCGCCTGTCCAACCTCGTGGGTTTTCTCCTGGCCCTGCTGTTTCCTCCAACTATTAAAGACCCCTACGCGCAAGTGAATTATTGAAATAAAATTAAACCATATGTTAGTCCCGAAATGACCTAGTTTGTGTCGAGTGAAGGTTAAACCCCATTTCTCTCCCTCGATATTTATATCATAAAAAATTGTAGATCCGTATATACTAATTAGATCATTTCGGGACTAACATATGGTTTAATTTTATTTTACTGTATTCAACGTTATTTACCAAGATATAAAACTAGCAACACCTGGACAAGGAGAAAAAGCAATATATTTATTGTTTGATTGGTTTGATCAAAAATAAACAATGACCTTGACCTTAACAAAAATAAACAATGTAAAGTGGTTTATTCCGACCCAAATAAAACAAACATGGATATTTATGTATCAAACGCCAATACAATGTACTCATAATGATTTTGAAACGTGGTTTATTCCGACCCAAATATCCCAATAAAACAAACATTGATATTTATGTATCAAACGCCAATACAATGTACTCATAATGATTTTGAAACGTGGTTTATTCCGACCCAAATATCCCAATAAAACAAACATTGATATTTATGTATCAAACGCCAATACAATGTACTCATAATGATTTTGAAACGTGAAGTTGCATAAGAAGTCTTATCTACAGTATACAAGGGAGGTAATTTAAACAGGTGACCGGATGTGAGCGTTACGGTATTCAGTAGTAGATGGCTAAATCTATTTGTTAAGGCCAAGATTTCGTCAAGGTCGCTGAGATGTAAATAGGGTTAGGACACGAGATTGTTGGCAAGATTGTATGTTAGCGTTAGGGTAAGCGTTAGGACTAGGTCCAGGGTTAGGGTTGGGATTAGCCCTAGCCCTGTTTACATCTCGTGACTTTTGACCGCACTTGAAGTTGACCTTAACAAAAATAGATATAACCGGAAAAGATATTAAATGAACGAGGGGATATTCTAGACTGGATAACCTGTTCTAAATGACGTCAGACTGGTTCCTATGTCACTGCGCTATTCTGACTTCAACATGCAAGTGTTAGAGCAGGTTATCCAGTCTTGGGGATATTCTGACAACCGATTCAATGAATACTGTTTGATCACAGGTTGACTGGATACTGTAGATCAAGGATTGATTGGATACTGTTTGTTCAAGCAAGGTTGACTGGATACTGTAGATGGAGGATTGACTGGCTATATTGTTGTTCAAGGATTGACTGGATACTGTAGATGGAGGATTCCCCGGATACTGTTTGATCATGGGTTAACTGGATACTGTTTGATCAAGGTTGACTGGATACTGTTTGTTCAAGGATTGACCGGATACTGTAGATGAAGGATTCACTGGATACTGTTTGTTCAAGGATACTGTTTGTTCAAGGTTGACTGGATACTGTTTGATCAAGGTTGACTGGATACTCATCGTTCAAGGTTGACTGGATACTGTTTGGTCAATGGTCGATAAGATATTATTTGTAATCTACTTACGTTCAGCGATTGACTGGATAGTAAGGTAATGAACAATGGTACTTGTTTTGTCAACTCTTCTTTCCAGGTCGAGCCACCGTTCAAAAACAAAAATATGATCTGTCTTCAGAGGAATTTTGATGGCATTACCTTCAACGGTTAAACCCTCTTTCATAGCCGTCAGCGTTGCAGCCTTGGTTATAACAATCTGAAAGGTATTAAACATAACTCATGTGTGTGCGTGTGTGTGTGAGAGAGAGAGAGAGAGAGGGAGAGAGAGAGGGGGTGCGTAGAGGTCTTTAGCAGGTAGAGGGGGGGCAGAAAAAAGCCACAAAATTGGACAAGCGGTCCTATTCCTTGTTACGCACAAGCGCGGAATCGGAACCCCGCTACTTTATTCAGTGAAAAGGCTTACGGTCTAACGCACCGATGAGAAAAGGTGATGAACTAGAGTAGGAGCAGATAGTATAACAATACAAATAGTTAATATACAAAAATTACTAATTCTAGGTCTTTTTGAAGAGTGTCTTCCTGTCCTGTAAATAACTAATTAGTATAACAGGCCTTGTGTATAATTAATTAGTAACAGCCTCTGTATAGACCTAATTAGTAACAGGCCCTGTATATAACTAATTAGTAACAGGCCCTGAATATAACTAATTAGTAACAGGTCCTGTATATAACTAATTAGTAACAGGTCCTGTATATAACTAATTAGTAACAGGCCCTGAATATAACTAATTAGTAACAGGTCCTGTATATAACTAATTAGTAACAGGTCCTGTATATACTATTCAAAAAAAGTAGGGGATATATGATTTTTAAGTGTTATTAAAGTCACCTAATGAAACTGACGAAGAAACAAATGACAAAATGAAATGAAGTTCACATTCATCGATTTATTCCAAATGATCGTTAGACTTAGTAAGGCACAGACTGACCATTATAAGGGTAAAATGATACCCGGGGTCAAACAGCAAAGTTACCACAGCATCACAACCAAGTCAGTAACGGGTAAATCCTTCTCTGTTTGCCAAACAAGCATTGATCCGACGTGGCATACTCCTAATAAGACGTCTAAGGTCATTTTGGTCCAGATTGTCCCATTCCTGTTGCAACGCAGCAGCAAGTTCTTGGACATTGGCAGGACGTTGTTGACGTTGACGTAACCTCTGTCCAAGCATGTCCCAGACATGCTCGATGGGGGAGAGGTCGGGACTCAGTGCTGGCCAAGGTAATGTGGTGATGTTCTGTTGTTGGAGGTAACCTGTGACATCTTGCGTTGTCATCCTGGAAGATGAAACGGCGGCCATGACGTCGTGCGAACGGCACAACATGGACTGCCAAGATGTTGTCCCGGTAGTACTGGCCTGTAACACGCCCTGCAACAACATGTAAAGCCGTTCTTCCAGCAACAGTGATGCCTCCCCACACCATAACAGAACCACCCCCAAATCGATCATGTCTGATGACGTTAACGTCTTGGAAGCGCTCGTTTCGACGACGCCACACCCTCCTACGTCTGTCCAAAAAATCAACAGTGAACCTTGACTCATCTGAAAACATCACATTGCTCCAGCGTCGATTATCCCAGTGTTGACGATCCCTACACCAACGACGTCTTGCCTGAATGTGATGATCTCTCAAACAAGGGATCACGCGAGGACGTCGGGCGCGAAGGTGACCCCTATGCAGTCGATTCCGAATCGTCTGGCCACTCACTCTCACACCAGTGTCTGTTTGAAGACGAGCGCTGATCTGATTTGCTGTGATGACACGATTTCTCAAGGCCAAGGTACGGATAAATCGATCCTGGGCTTGAGTTGTCGCCCTTGGTCGACCTGAGCGTGGTCTGTCCTGTACAGATTGTGTATCACGGTATCTGGACCATAGTCTGCTTATGACAGACTGAGAAACATTCGTCGTCCGCGCCACAACCGCCTGTGTTGTGCCGATCTGTAGCATGCCAAGGGCACGTAACCTTTCATTTTGGGTAAGCCGACGCATATCAAAATTTGTTTTCTGGTCACTAAAACAATTAAACTGATGTTTCCACCCTGGAATTCAATGCCACAATGACTGTAACATTCAAAGTCAGAGTCGTGCAAATCTTGGGTTGGACCCCCATGATGATCCCAAGCATCACCTGCATTGCATGCGGTAGCTATTGGTGCGTTTGGGCGTCACATGTAACTGGAAATGTTTCTTCTGTTAGGTTCTATAGTGACTTTTTTCGTAGTCATTTGAATATTTTAGTATTATGCCCCCAAAATCAAATATCCCCTACTTTTTTTGAATAGTATTTAACTAATTAGTAACATGCGCTGTATATAACTAATTAGTAACATGCACTGTATAGACCTAATTAGTAACAGGCCCTGTATAGAACTAATTAGTAACATGCGCTGTCTAGAACTAATTAGTAACAGGCCCTGTATATAACCAAAACAAACTTACATTTTCAACATACCAACTTGGATTTACACCGTTGTTGTCACGTTTTAAAAGAACTTGTTTGATTTCCCCGACATCATTAGCTTTTCGCTGTAAATAAAACAGTTCGTTCATTAGTTTCACTCATGAGCTATGTAAACATATCAAATAAAATGGGCGCCATGGTGGCTCAGTGAAGAAGGCGCTGGGTTACTAACCAGAAGGCCCCGGGTCGACCCCAGTGTTGGCCAAGAATTATACGAGAGCCACGGTGGCTTAGTTAGTAAGACGTTGGCTGGCTAACCTGGGGTCCCCTGTTCGATCGCTGTGTTGACCGAGGGGGTTCATTTAGATTTCCTAGAGTGATTCCCCTTTGTCATTCGTCTACTTTGCAGTTGGAATTCGATATAAGAATAGGCCGCAGCGCCTCTGACGGGGCACAATTTCCCTCATAGCACACTAAATGCCTGCCTCCATTAGTCCAGTCGGTGGAAAATAGTATTCATTCCACTGTATGTAGAGGAGTGATACGGTAAGAGGTGTCTACAAATCCAATCAGTTCGGGTTGTAATTCAAAGAAACCAGATGGCCACAGTGGTCCAGTGAGCAGGGCGCATGTTCCTTAGGGTTTTCCACCATGGCAAGGATATGACGTGTACTCGAAACAAGTTGGCGGCAAGGCCCCCTCAAAAAAAAATGACAACCTTTCAAATATAAAATAATACACTTGATTATGATCACAGAGTGATGCTCTTAAGGTCGGTTTTAATGGCACCCACGCGCCAATAGGTACCTGATTCGTTTGTCCTGATCCAAACTTTCTTATATCACTTACGTGGAGGCTATGGGACGCAGTCTAATTTTCAAAATTTTGGGGGGACACACACACACACCGCTGCGCGAGCGTGGCGCTCGCGGGCTCCCGCCTTCGCCGGTCGCTGCTCCGAGCTCAGTAACTCGGGCATTATATTGGCGCCTCCTATCACTCTGCTGCACCCCCACTTTTAAAATCCTACATACGACCCTGGTTGGCGATTGGAAGTCGAAATAAGGGTAAGCCATCCGATCTCCTACCATTCTTCATTTTCCCGGTTGGTGCAGAGCAGTAGGACATTAAACCCCATTTCATTTCCAAGCAACACACGCCCTTCGTAAGCACGTCATACCAGAATCGTTGGTTCGGAATAAATTATAAACAAAATAACCCACATTAAAATCAAATGTTGCTTTGTCTAAAAAATAATAAACTCACTTCTTTTCAAGCGCTTACCTCAAAAACATCTGTCGACCCTTGTTCAAAATCATTCCTTTTCAAGTCATCAATACGAATAAGGCCGGTTTGACTAGTGGTTCCAATAATTTGTACATGTACTCTAGCATTTGTGCCGGCATTTGCTCTGTTACCTGTCTTAACAGCTATGGTATATACAATATCTCCATCTAAAATGAAATGGGGTTTAACGTCCTACTGTTCTGCTCCAAAGTGGGATAATGAAGACGGGCATACGCCATATTGTTTGCTATGAGGGAAATTTTGCTCGGACAGCGGCACTACATTTATGATAATAATAGTAGACTTTTTACGAACTAAATATATATATATATATATGCTAAATATATATATGCACTAAATATATATGCTCATAGGGCTACAAACGTTCTGAAGACATTATTGTTTATGTGCTATAACAGTTTTATGTCTCTTTAAAGGCTCAATATCACTCTTGTTGTAACTGAATAATATTTCCCAATCTTTATTCTAGTCAACAAATGTACTATTTTACAATATTCCAAATAATTGATGATACAAATTTCATCTTAACACACCTAATTTAAAAAATTGGAAAAATTCAACTAAATGATTTGAAAAGCCTTTTCAAATGTGTCTTGGATTTAAAAATATTTTGGAACCCTCTGGACAAGTAAAATAGGATGTAATGGATAATTTACACAACGGGTAGGACACTTAAACATCTAATACTTAGAATAAGGCTATTATTTATTTTCTGGAGCTGTCAAGCCAGCAAGAGTGTTATTGTCTCTTTAAACAGGTGTGTTTCTGAATTGCAATAAGGTTGGTGCATTTTTAACTTCTGATTTGTAAATTTAAATTAACATACTTAAAACACAGAGGAAAATATTTACACGACATGCCCGGTAATTTAAATAACCAATGCAAAGTTTATTAAAACAATGTTCGTATATGTCTTTCTATTATTCAGAAAAGATTTGAGTATCAGTCATCTCCCCGGACTGATTTACAACATTTTAAGTACAGTGGACCCTGTCACTTCCGAAAGCGTAGCCATATTTTAAGTTCTGTGTATTCGAGGGTACATTATAATAATACTTCCTGTATTTGAAGGTACAATAATACTTCCGTTATTGAGGGAATTGAATATTCCGATATGCTGTGTAATTCGGCACATTGTATCGATCCCGTGCCATGTCGGAATTGACCGAGTCCTCTGTTGAACATTGTTTAAAATTATGATTATATAAAGAGATTAAAGATACATTATGTAAGATTTAGACAAAGAGCTGACCATTCTTACTATAATAGTTTAAAGATAGATAATGTAAAATTAAAATATTGAAAATTTCATTCAAATTACTTCATTCTAAGCCAAGTTATCATTGTTGGTAGTTTTGACAAGATGTGTGCATTGTGGTAACCGGGGCACTGGTATATTCGAGACTTAGCCTCGTTTATCCATTTTTAAATTAAATTAAAATCTCGAGTATCCGATGCCATCGAGAGATCATTATGGTCCTATGTTAATAAATGTCTAATTAATAGTTCATATAACATTTCAGACCTAAAGAAAGACCTGCAATAGGCAGATTTAGCTCTTGCTTAATGTATGTTTAATAATTATTATTTTAGCACTAAATTACAAAAGAGAGAAAGAGGGAGAGAAATGGGGTTTAACGTCCACTCGACACAAACTAGGTCATTTCGGGACTAACACATGGTTCAATTTTATTTCAATAATTCGCTTGCGCGTAGGGGTCTATAGCCGTGGGAGGAAACCGGAGGACCCGGAGAAAACCCACGAGGTTGGACAGGCGACCCTACTCCTTGTCACGTACAACCGGGGAATCGAAACCACAACAGTTCACTCAATGACAGACCTTATGACACAAAACGATAATTAACTGTCAGGGATAAAGTATATATTTCGGAAGGGCTCGCTTATTATTCAGTACGTTTTATATGGGGGAATTTCCTGACACATTAAATACAAAAACAAAACACTTCTTACCATCAGTCGTATTAATTGTCGGTGTAATGAATGAATCTGAAATGACAAATGCATTAAACGTCTGGGGTGAACTGAGAAGGGGCGAGGGGGAATTTAGGAATATGCAAATAGCCATGTTATTTGCTACACAATAGTTGAAATGGCTGTTACATTCCAGCCTCGGAATCCCAGTGATCTCATTACGTTCATCCACGGCATATTCACGTATTCAAATTATCTGTCCTTGATTGCAGCTTGATTTTACGCACCAATTAAAAACAGTTCACAAACCAGTCATAGCCAATTAAAACAGTTCACAAACTAGTCTTAGCCTCACTGCTTACGTTCACAACAAGATGAGAGTTACTTCCCTTCGCCATCTTCCTTTGTTTTTAAGGAATTTAGTGGAATGAAATGAGACCGCTGGGGATACCGAGAAACGAAATGAAATGAAATAGGGTTTAACGCCCTACTGTTCTGCTCCTAAACTGGGCTAATGAAGACGGTCATACGCCATACAGTGTGCTATGAGGGAAATTTTACCCGGACAGCTCCACTATCGCCTACTCTTATATCGAATTCCAACTGCCAGGGGATCTTTTACGTGCATTCCAATATATACACGGGACCTCCATTCTGCACCACTGACAAGAGGAAACCACGTCGGAAAATCCCGATGAACAGGATACCGAGAAAGGTTAAATTCTGAACCCGATGACATAAGCCTATGAACCAATGAAATTATACAAGTCGTTTTACCACTAACTAATATTATTTACAAGAACTAAATTAGGGCAAGTTTAAAGAGTCTATGCGTGATTTTAGTCCTAAAGAATCCCATGAAAACTAAAATATTGTTAGATTTAAATCAGGGGAAGTTTAAAGACTCTATGCGTGATTTTAGCCCTAAAGAATGCCATGAAAACTAAAATATTGTTAGATTTAAATCTCTATATATTAGGAGAGACAGTCCCCAAATGGTTTAATTCCGTCCGAACCGTCGCTAGCGGGGGGAGGGGGGCACGAGGGACAGCTGCCTCCCCTGGAAATAATCGGCGCATCTAATGGTGCCTTTGCCTTTGGCGCCCTTTCCATTGGACGCAATACGAGAAACCAACGATCAACGTGCCCCTCTTGCCCCCCCCCCCCCCCCTGCCTTGGTTACGGGCCTGATTCCGTTCATAATTTACAAAGTTCTGATGAACTATTCTGTATGTACAAGGAAAACGGACCTCCGTTCTTTTGTTTTTACTACAAAAATATTTCAGCATGCTACTGGAATATAACTTACTCTTGGTCAAACTAACTTTCCGCGCATTATTACAATCGCCATCTGCTATTCGACATCCACCGGAGGTACAACTAGAACATGTCTGTAAGCACAGCCCATTGGATCCCCAATATCCATCCCTACAGCCAATCAAGCAAACACCATCTACTTGTCGACATGTACCATTACAGGTAAAGCAGGATTCTTCACACACATCACCGTAGTAACCATCCTTACATCCAAAACATCGTCCTATCCTGTCATCACATTTACCATCCTTACAATGGCCACTACAAATAGACTGGCATCTTTTACCATAGTGATCACCATGACAACCATTAGAACATGATCCTCCTATCTTATCACATGTGTTGTTCAGACAGGATGTGGGACATCGTATGTTACAGTTGCTACCATAGAAACCATCCGGACAGTCATCTAAAGATCATAAAGATATCAATTAGGCAAACTGCGTACAATAAAGATACCAATTAGACACACTGCGTATAATAAAGCCATCATATAGACACACTGCGTATAATAGAGATACCAATTAGACAAACTGTGTATAATAGAGATACCAATTAGACAAACTGCGTATAATAGAGATACCAATTAGACAAACTGCGTATAATAGAGATACCAAATAAATAAAATGCGTATAATAGAGATACCAATTAGATAAACTGCGTATAATAGAGATGCAAATTAGACAAACTGCGTATAATAGATATACCAATTAGACAAACTGCGTATAATAGAGATACAAATTAGACAAACTGCGTATAATAGAGATACCAATTAGACAAACTGCGTATAATAGAGATACCAAATAAATAAAATGCGTATAATAGAGATACCAATTAGATAAACTGCGTATAATAGAGATACAAATTAGACAAACTGCGTATAATAGAGATACCAAATAGATAAACTGCGTATAATAGAGATACCAAATAGATAAACTGCGTATAATAGAGATACCAATTAGACAAACTGCGTATAATAGATATACCAAATAGATAAACTGCGTATAATAGAGATACAAATTAGACAAACTGCGTATAATAGAGATACCAATTAGACAAACTGCGTATAATAGAGATACCAAATAAATAAAATGCGTATAATAGAGATACCAATTAGATAAACTGCGTATAATAGAGATGCAAATTAGACAAACTGCGTATAATAGATATACCAATTAGACAAACTGCGTATAATAGAGATACAAATTAGACAAACTGCGTATAATAGAGATACCAATTAGACAAACTGCGTATAATAGAGATACCAAATAAATAAAATGCGTATAATAGAGATACCAATTAGATAAACTGCGTATAATAGAGATACAAATTAGACAAACTGCGTATAATAGAGATACCAATTAGACAAACTGCGTATAATAGAGATACCAAATAGATAAACTGCGTATAATAGATATACCAAATAGATAAACTGCGTATAATAGAGATACCAAATAGATAAACTGCGTGTAATAGAGATACCAATTAGACAAACTGCGTATAATAGCTTTGTAGGAAGCAGCTTTGCAAAAAAAAAAGAAAAAAAAAGAAAAAATAATTCTTGAACAGACATGCAATCTGATTAAAACACAGATCCTATTTCTTTTCGATTTTTATACTTCAAAATTTCGTTTTACTTGTATTCACTATAGTAGAATCTGTTAGTGAAGACAAGTTGTTATATAACCCGCGTTCTAGTTGATGTAAGTGATTAGCCAATGAAACGGTCTGCTACGGCGAGTTCTTGGCGTGCTCTGCACAGAACTGTGGGTAAGCACCTAGAAACGTCAACGCTGATTGATAAATCAATGTCTGACGTCAATGGCCGCTCGTGCGACCCCTGGCCCGACCTCCCAGTACAACTGGCATGGTCCAACACCCAAATCAGCCTAATAGGCCTACTGGTCTTTATTTTGACTTCAAATGTACAACCACGTGGGATTTCTCCTGGTCCTGCAGTTTCCTCCTACTGCTAAAGATTTCTACGTGAAAGCTACTTATTAAAAAGAAACTCTCTCTCTCCCCCCTCTCTCTCTCTCTCCCCTCTCTCTCTTTCTCTCTATCTTAATAGGCCATGCAATAAGGTGACCTTGAAAAGTATAATGATCAAACTCTTTACCTGCAAATACTTGAACCTCACAGATATCCAATCTTGCATCAGTGCGTTTAACAGATATAAAAATATATCTAGCGGATAATGATGGTATTGCTGGATGATTGCATCTCTCGATGGTATATACTGAATCTGTTGTTGATGCGCTATCTTTAAAACATGGTGTAGCTGCTGTAAATCCTGCTTTATCACACTGACCACTAGAACTTATTCTCATCTCAAATCCATCACTCAGTTCATGTCTTCCTGATATAACATTGTGAAAATAAGTTCTTTAATAAAAGTTCAATTATTATCCTTCTTGATTTTACACGGACGTTTAGCACATAGTTCAATGCACGTTCCTTAAAGATACATTATGGGAGATTAAATAAAGAGCTGACAGTTCAGACTATACTAGTTAAAGATACATTATGGGAGATTAGATAAAGAGCTGACAGTTCAGACTATACTAGTTAAAGATACATTATGGGAGATTAGATAAAGAGCTGACAGTTCACATTATACTAGTTAAAAAATAGATAACGTAAAGGGAATTAGCTGAAAATTTCAGTCAAATTGATCAACTTTGATTTACTGAAATAAATTTTATCTTTATGTTAAAACAAAATTAAATTAAACAGAAATACATTTTACAAATCTGATATGACAAATGTCTGATTTGTAAAACAAATATTGATTTTAAGATACAAATGTTAATTTTAGTGTACAAATGTCGAAATAAGACAACAAATGAAGAAATAAGTATTAAGGACTATGAATTAAGAAATAAGAATTATGAACACTGAATAAAGAGCTGTTTGGTCTTCCATAAGTTTTAACTTGGCTCAGAATGAAGTAATTTGAATGAAATTTTCAATATTTTCATTTTACATTATCTATTTTTGAGCTATTATTACAAGCATGGTCAGCTCTTTATGTAAATTTTACAGAATGTATCTTTAAAGAGATTATGTATTATATAATTATAGTATAGACAACAATCTGCTCTTTCCAATATTATAGACATTATATATTATTATATAGACCACAATCTGCTCTTTCCAATATTATAGACATTATATATTATTATACAGACAACAATCTGTTCTTTCCAATATTATAGACATTATATATTATTATACAGACAACAATCTGCTCTTTCCAATATTATAGACATTATATATTATTATACAGACAACAATCTGCTCTTTCCAATATTATACACATTATATATTATTATACAGACAACAATCTGCTCTTTCCAATATTATACACATTATATATTATTATACCAATCTGATTAAAATACAGATCTATATTTAGTTTCGTTTTCCTTATACTTTCAATGGCCTCTACTACATGAAGATCTGATCAGTTATACTGGGAGGTCGTGTCAGGTGTGGTACGTGCGGAGTTGGCCCTATGACGTCATACATTGATTAATCAATCAGCGTTGACGTTTCTAGAGGTTTACCCACAATTACCTAAAATTTAAATTATAAAAAACGGAACGAAATAGAATCTGATTAATAACAACTCTCCCAGGTCCTAATATAATAAAGACAAATAAAACAAAAATTTAAACGATAAAAAACGAAACGAAATAGGATCTGTGTTTTTATCCGATTGTTATTATACCTACCACCATGAGCTCTCTCCAATATTCTAACGGTGTTGATATGAAACTCCTGTAGTAAATCTATACACCACCACGCTGTTAAGCCAGCCCAACTTGAAGTATTGACACCAAGATTAATCGTACTCTGTCGTGTTGGTTTATTAATAGCAACATTAACGGCACCTGGAAAAAAGACACAGTAATGAAGACTGAGAGGGAGAGAGAGGGAGAGAGAGAGAGAGAGAGGGAGAGAGAGAGGGAGAGAGAGGGAGAGGGAGAGGGAGAGAGAGAGGGAGAGAGGGAGAGAGAGAGAGAGGGAGAGAGGGAGAGAGAGAGAGGGAGAGGGAGAGAGAGAGAGGGAGAGAGAGGGAGAGAGAGAGAGAGAGAGAGAGGGAGAGAGAGAGAGAGAGTTTATTAATAGTGATATAGCATAGATATTATTTTTTAAATTTAACATGACAGTAGCAAATCTCTCTCATCGTCATCGTTATCTTATAACTTGACCACAGTTCAGTATGACACTTTAGTTTACATAATATAGTATACGTGTATCACTTCTGATACACAATTTATTAAATAATACCCATGAAATGTTAACTTAACCTATTAGGATGTTGAAATGATCTTGCGACTATCTCTTATTCAAAGGGTTAATCTTTGTAAATTTATCTATAATCCTCTTACAGATAATTTAGTTCCAAGTAAACTTCTGAACTGATGATAAGGTTTGCTTTAGAACTGATGATAAGGTTTGCTTTAGAACTGATGATAAGGTTTGCTTTAGAACTGATGATAAGGTTTGTGAGAACGTGAAAGATCCTCTAACTAATATTACCGAGCTACACCCAAACTACATAACGTAAATTAACCAATTACTTAGCGAACGGATGCACGTTCTCAATAGCAACATTGATGGCACCTGGAAACAAGAACCATAGATTACAATACTAATGACGCTGTGATTATTGGGCTCGTATTGGGATATATTTGAGTGAAGTCTCTAGGGTGTCATGGTGGCTAAGTGGATAAGACGCTGGCTCACTAGCCTGGACGTTGGGTTTCCGATCCAGATATTCCGGCGTGGTTTTCCCTTGTCAGTGATGCAGGACGGAGGGTCTGGTGGGACGAAAAAACCAGGTCCCCTGTGTACATTGGTGGGCATGTAGAAGATCCCTTGATAGCTGGAATTTGATATAAGAGTAGGCCGCAGTGCCGCTTTCCGGGCAAAATTTCTCTCACAACACATGGTATGGCGTATGCCCGTCTTCATTAGCCCAGTTCGGAGCAGAACAGTTCGTTTCTTTAAGAGTGTATCACTACAGACTCGGGACCGTACAGTGCAGTTAAAGCTTACAGCTTGTCTCGGGATCCGTTCACTTGATCTGAAATGTGCGTTTGTTGTTTGGGGTGTCTGTGTTTATTGTGTCCTGTCCGTAGGTTTGTCTTGTGTAATTTAAAAAAAATGTGCGCTCGAGATAATCTCTGTGGTATTCCGCGCGAACAAAATTTCGGTCGCGATCGCGTTCACCATCAGTATAAACGACTTCATTGAAACAATAGTCAAGCAGACCCTAATTGCTATTTCAATGAAGTCGTTTATACTGACGTCGAACGCGAACGCGGACAAATTTTTGTTCGCCCGGAAAACGGTAGAGATAACCTCGAAGTTCGAGGTGACGTATACGTGGCAGGTGAATCGAGACGGCTTCGCCATTCCAGGTGTCAAGACAGGATAGTGAACGATGATTCGCGCTGAAAATCGCAGACGGTCGTGGTCCCCCACCCCCGGGATCAGTCAATTTATATTTTATTTCAGCAGTAAAGATTCTTAAGACATCACTAAATTAAGTAATGTGGATACCAAACAGAATGGGGGAATTTTTTGCCTGGACAGCGGCGTTACGGCCTACTCTTAATTCCAATACCAACTGTCAAGGGTTCTTTTACGTGCACGAAAATGTGTACACGGGACCTCGGTGTTTCGTCCCACCCGGACGACTAGACAGCTGTCCTTGTCAGGCCCTCCGTCCTGCATCACAGACAAGGGGGAAACCACGTCGGAAAATACCGAATGGTTTACACCGGGAGCGAACCCGAGCCCCCCCCCCCCCCCAGGCTAGCGAGCTAACGTCTTAGGCAGTGTAGCTATCAAATAAAATAAGTTATTTTGAGATAATTAAGAATGTTTTACACTTACCAAATATACAGATAACTTGACTTGCAACAAAGAGAAATATGAAAATCTTGTCGGAAGACATCATCATATGTTTATCCAAGTAAACAAAAATCAACTGTTATATATGGAAGTATTTTAAGGGGTCAACGTGATAATTAAGTAAAGTAATGTTGTTATTGTAATTATAGCCATATTTTAATTACATCTCCAGATAACGTCTGATACGACACGTGAAAGTGAGAGAGAGAGAGAGAGAGAGAGAGATTGAGAGAGATAGAGAGAGGGTGGAGGTCATATCGGGACTAACATATTGTTCAACTTTATTTTAATAATTCGCTTGCGCGTAGGGGTCTTTATAAGCAGTAAGAGGAAACTGGAGGACCCGGAAAAACCCACGAGGTTAGACAGGCAATCCTACTCCTTGTCCCACAGAAACATTTATTTGCACGCCATTATCAACACGAACGACTAGCCATGTCAGAGCCTTCGTCCTGTTGGTATATATGGAAAATATAGAAAAATACTGGATGCCCTGAAAAACACCTCCAGTTTCCCCCCACTGCTAAAGACCCTACGCGCAAGTGAATTATTGAAATAGAATTGAACAATGTGTTAGTCCCGAAATGACCTAGTTTGTGTCGAGTGGACGTTAAACCCCTATTTATTTTACACCCGTGTCTTCATTAGTCCAACTGGCGCACGCTAGACAGAAGACGGTCTAGCACAAACGACGTCATGTTTGGATTGGAAGACATGAATTGCAAGATAATGATCACATAACAGCAAAACAATATGATTATCTATCCGCTAAATCTGACTGTCGACAACGACATCTATCTATAGTCTATACGCTACCAAAAATACATAAAAATCCAGAAACAGAATGCTTTATACATAATAAATTACCCAAGGGACGCCCAATAATATCAGGTTGTGGCAGCGAATCAAACAACGTATCACAATATATAAACCATTTCTTATTACCCCTAGAAAATCAAACAGTTAAGAGTCCCTGGGCACACCATTTTAGTATCCATCGACTTATAGAGCATGAACATCGAAGTTGAAGCATTTAAGAAAGCATTTCTTTGGAACCCGCAAGCATCCAGACCGGACGAAGAAATCCTCAAATTACTCGATATTTGTCTGAGGAGGAATGACTTCGCTTTCAACGACCAAGTATACCTCCAGTCTTCCGGAACTCCGATGGGAAAACGATTTGCTCCGAGTTATGCAAATCTCTTCATGGTGGAGTGGGAAAGGGATTTCTATGGACGTTTTTTAGATGACGTTTTCATAATCTGGACGTACACACTACACGAATTTTGGAAGTTTTTCAACATTCTGAACAATCATCTTGCATCTGTCAAATTAACCGCAAATTGAAGTCATAACAGCATAGATTTCCTTGAAACTACCGTTTTTAAATGTAACAACACCAAAAACACTGGTCAATTGGAAATTAAAGTATATTTCAAAGAAACCGACAAGCATCAATTATTGTTCAAGAGCTCCTTTCACCCAAAGCAAACCTTCTCTGGCATCATAAAATCTCAGATTCTCCGTGTCCATAGGATATGTACTCAGAAGACTGACCTTGCGTCAGCATGTACGCTGGCATTTAGCAAACTAAGAGAAAGGGGATACTTCAAACGCTATCTCCGAACTTTAAAAGAAACACTCTAGCTGAACTTGCCGCCAAAGAAACAAATAATATGCAATCAGTAATTAAAATCAAAACTTGTGGCCACCCAAAATGTCAAACATGCAAAATCATAGACATATCCGACCATTTCCATAACAAAACATCTGGCACACAATTCCCAATATTAGACCAACTTTCATGCAGCAGTTCAAATATAATTTATCTAATTTCATGTAGACAATGTGACAAACAATACGTAGGGGAGACTCAGAATGCACTTAGGGAAAGAATTAACGGTCACCGGTCAGACATAGTCACAAAAAAAGACAAACATGTCTCAATTCACTTCAACCAACCAAATCATGACATTTCTGATCTCATTGCCACGCCAATAGAAAAGACCAAGAGCGACTTTGAAACTACAGAAGAAATTAAAACGTTTAGGATAACAAGAGAACAATTCTGGATTGATAAATTGAAAACAACAGCCCCCACCCACGTCTGAATATTCACACGGCTAGCGCAATAGCCTAACCCAAAGCAAACAATATATTAAACCCTAGCCCTAACCCTTAGTAAATAAAATCAACTGTAGTTATAAGAATCCCTCGCCCTAACCCCGGGATGCGGGAAAAACTCATTTTTAGAAAATACAATCCTTAGTAGGAAACACACTAATGTGGTAATAATAAAATAAAACCAAGTACGAACAATCCAAATCTTTAGACAAAATTCGAAGTTCTAAAAAAAAAACAAAAAAAAAACGGTATAGGCAAAATAGTGTAATCAGCATATGGACTGTTCACCGTGTACAAAATACACGACAAACAGAGGTACATTAAAAAATTTATTCTTTTTTCTTCAGAAACAAGAATATCAGAAGCGACACCGAAGGAAGGTCACCAGCGCCACCAGACAAAAAACAGAGAGAGAGAGAAATGGGGTTTAACGTCCACTCGACACAAACCAGGTCATTTCGGGACTAACATATGGTTTAATTTTATTTCAATAATTCGCTTGCGCGTAGGGTTCTTTAGCAGTGGGAGGAAACCGGAGGACCCGGACCAGAAAAAACAGCGAAATCAACTTTGTAAAGTGGGGGACAGACGAGTGTATTTTTTCGCCCGATCGCGGCGATTTTTAAAATCGCTCAAAAAATACGCCCGTGAGCCCCATCAAGGCGACGACGATTCGCCCGATCAATCGCTCGTATCTAGCATGTTAGATATTTTCGGCCAAATTTTTTTTTTGCCGGCGATTAAATTCGCTCATGTGCCCGTGTCCAGCGTATATTATCGGTCGATTCATTTGTATAAGCCAATCATCAACATCGTTGATATCACATGATCTCAAAATGGCTGGCAGTTTGTACAAGTGATCAACATAATTACTCACAGAGTGGCGTACGCTCTCGAGGCGATCGCTACGTGTGCCCGTTCGTTGTCGGCCGTAAAAAATCGATGGCGAATTTCAATCGCCGAGATCGGGTGGAAAAATATGCTCGTCTGTCCATAGCATTAATAAATCTAATGTATTGTATGTATTTTTATAAAACTAGGAAATATCACGAATCAAATTTTCATCATCCTAGGTCAGTGCTGATGTGGAGACTTAGCCTCTCCCCCAAATTCTTAAATCTAACCCATACTCCACACATAAAGAGATTATAAGAGTTCGAAAATAGATGATGTAAAATGAATAATTTGAAAATTTCATTCAAATTACTCTATTGCGAGCGAAGATATTAGCCTTTGAAGTTTTGACAAGATGTGTGCAATAATTTCAACCACCGTATTGGTTGTTCGAAGCTATGTCTCGCTCCTCCATTTTTAGCTTAAATCAAAATATGGCTGAACAGCTCTTACCTGTTTAACATCGGAGAAATCCAATGCCATCTAGAGTTGATTATGGTCTGGATAAGTTAATTAACGTCTAATTAATAATTTAGATAACATTTCAATCCTAAAGAAAGACATGGAGTAGGCAGATTTAGCTCTTGCATAATGTATGTTTAATTAACCCCTATCTCTCTCTTTATCTTGACCCAAGCTTAAATGTACTTAAATTAATTACACCACTTAATTACCCCCCCACTCTCTCTTTCTCTATCTCTCTTTATCTTGACCAAAGCTTAAAGGTACCCAAATTAATTATTTAACATTTAATTAGGAAAACAGAATCAAAATATCTATTGTAGGAAATCTACAACCGGGATTCAATGGAAATAGAAATGAGCCCACCGCAAGTGTCAAGAGAATACGCCCACGCAACCGCTTTGTCTCATCTGAAAGCTTATCTGATAGGAAAACCTGGTTGTTGAGACAATTTGATGACTACGGAACGGAAAGTCACAGCACGTTGTAAATCAATAGAGTGTGTCATGTCCAATGCTTTCCACCAAATGTGTCTTGTGTCAGTCTTGGCATCTTAAATGGGAATCTGGGAGGTCGAGTGGTCTAATGCGTGCGCTTTAGATCTAAGATCTGTCATTGAGTCAAGTGGCTTGGTTTCGAATCCCCGCTTTAGATCTAAGATCGTTCATTGAGTCAAGTGGCTTGGTTTCGAATCCCCGCTTTAGATCTAAGATCGTTCATAAAGTCTGTCATTGAGTCGACTGGCGTGGTTTCGAATCCCCGGTTGTACGTGGCAAGGAGTAGGGTCGCCTGTCCAACCTCGTGGGTTTTCTCCGGGTCCTCCGGTTTCCTCCCACTGCTAAAGAACCCAACGCACAAGCGAATTGTGTAAATAAAATTAAACCAAATGTTAGTCCCGAAATGACCTAGTTTGTGTCGAGTGGACGTTAAACCCCATCTCTCTCTCTCCATCGGGATTTTCTGGCGTGCTTCCCCCTTGTCAGTGCTGCAGAACGGGGAAGGGGTGGCAACGGGAATGAAATGAAATGAAATGGGGTTTAACGTCCTACAGTTCTGCTCCTTCACTGGGCTAATGAAGACGGGCATACGCCATACAGTGTGCTATGAGGGAAATTTTGCCCGGACAGTGGCACTATGGACTACATCGAATTTCAACTGCCAAGGGATCTTTTACGTGCACGCTAATGTATACACGGGACCTCGGTTTTTCGTCTCACATCCGAACGACAAGACAGCTGTCCTTGTCAGGTCCGCCCGGGTGGCAACGGATACCGTGTAGTCGTTCAGAAGAGATGGAAATCCAAGGTCGGGTGCACACATTGGCGCGCACGTAGAGGAACCCTTGACAGTTGAAATTACCCTCATAACCCAATGCATGACGTATTCCCATAGACCGTTAAACCCTGCGTTTTTTTTCTTTTCGATACGTTAGACGGCAAAAGAACCAGTGGGAGTGCCTGGACATTTTTAAGACATTAAACAACCTCTCTTCTTTTCTTAACAAAATTTCTAAATATATTCATCTAAAGTTTGTGACGAATTATTTTAGGGTGAAAAATAGTTTGAAACGCACATTTTTAGCCAATTCATCATCAATAAAAATTTGACACGTGTTATATAA